AAAGTAGGGGCGACATGGTTGAGCTTACAGTCACCCACACGGCCCCATCCATGCATGCCCTCCCCACACATCATTCACCCACTCATGTATGCACGTTTCCATCGATGCACCCCCCCTCCCTGCACCCCCTCACCCCCCCAAAGGTCATGTGCATTGACGGATGTGGGAACCCACGGACAGGGGTGTCTGACCCCATGAAGCTCATGTAACGGGGAGAAGAGATAAGTAAACAGCATCACAAGAGTTTGTCCAGACCAGATAAGGGTGATGATTTCCCAACACGATTGCAGTTCTCCAGTTGCGATTCTACTCAGAGGCCACAGGGGCACGAAATTAATTCCTACCATCCTTTTGGGACCCCCCCACACCTACTGGGGCTTAAGCTCACTTACCCCCAGACTTCTTTACTCACATGCAAAACCCTTGGAGATTCCCAAAGCGCTAAGTCTTTCCTAGACTTAGGGCCTAGCAGGCCCTGGGCAGCTACTACTGAGGACACAGTGAGCGCTGAGAACGGCTGGGCGCACAGGGTCTCCCATTAGTGTGGCCATAGGCACCCCCTCACTGCCTGCCTCCTCTGTCCCTGCCGCCCGACCCGCAGCCTGTTCTCTACAGAAGAGGATTTTATTTTATTACTTTACTGAAATCATGCTTTATTTAAATCGCACCTTTATTTAAGCATCAAGACACCCTGCTACGTTCCTCGCAGGCATTTCCCGCACTGCTGTTGGCTGGAGTCTCGTCTCCCTTCAGCAACGGCCAGTGGATCCCTTTTCCTCGGGGAGGAGAGATCCACAGTCTGTTGCCTTTGCCAATAACACACGCCGGGAGACGGGTGGCAGAGCTGTCCAGAACTGGGTGTCTCTGTCACGGGTGACCCCACCCACCCTTCCCAGGTGGGCGCCTCCGGTCACCACGCACAGCCCTCCAGAGTCACACCCGATGAACCTGTAATCTTGCCACTTTCAGATCAGACTGGATGGGGTCACTCACCTTGACGAGGGGACAGGACTGCAGGGACCATGACATCGTGGGTGGCCAGGGCAGGCATCCCCTTGGCGCCCAGGTGTTTTCTCTCTACACTCCTGGACTTGGCCTTCTCAGGTATGATGCCATGAAGAGTGAAGCGACCCTTAGAGCCACGGGTCAGT